TGGAAAAAAGAGTAATTCTGCATTGGCCTTGTTAAATTCAACTAAAGATTCCGGGTTTGGGTTTGCCTCAAAATGGTCTTGTGCCCTACTTGCTCTAGATTCTGCCTCCTTAAGTTGCTGGAAGATGTTACCAAACTCCTCCTTGCTCCATTTGGAAATATGGCCTTGAGATCCTTGAGTTTTCTCCCAAGGCCTTTCATTCCATTGTAGGTTTTATTGTTCTCCCAAAAAGATCTGATGGTGCCTTCTAAAGTGTGGTGTGAAACCCACAAGTCCAAGAATCGGAAGGGTTTGGGACCAGAGTAAGTATCCAAAGAGAGATTCAGGAGAAAAGGCCTGTGATCTGATATTCCCTTACTAAGCATAGAGAGTTGTAGACTGCTAGTCCTATCCAGCATCTGTTGGTTGCTAAAAACATGGTCCAGTCTGCGCCAAAGCTTCCCATTGCTTCGTTTCCCACTCCAAGAAAAATGTCCTCCTGAAAGATGGATGTAAAGGAGATTGCCAGCTTCCATGCATTCTCTAAAATCCTCCACTGAGTTATTGCAAGGATTGCAGTTCCCTTTGTGTTGGTCAAGGCTGTGGATGCAGTTAAAATCTCTTCCAATGATCCATGGATGTATGCTAGGGGCCCTATATGATATGGCATTCCATAATGCAGTTCTTTCAGCCCTAGTGTGCCTGCCATAGACAGAAGAAATCCACAATGGGCCATGCATTGCAGCTGAGTTGAATTGGCAGTGTATGATTTGGGGGCATTCAACTGTTTGGATCAGAATTAGACTTGGTTCCTTCCAAAATATCCATAGTTGATTATTCAGATGGTTGAATGCATTGGTCATACCCAACATATGCTTATAATCCTCCAACTGTTTATTATCTAGCAGGGGTTCCATAATAGCAATAAAAGAGAGATTATGAGAAGAAGAAAGAGTTTGAAGTCTAGGGGAAGACTTCTTTATTCCTCTAGCATTCCAAAAGAGCAAAAACATCAAAGTGATTTGGGTTTAGTTGTAGTTCTGTTCCTCAAAGACATGCTAAGAGGTGGCAAAGGGGTCTTGAGACCTCTACCCTTCATGAAAGGGATTGCATTGATATTAGCCTGAGAAAAATTGTTCTCCAGGGCAAGAAGAGGACTCTTATCCTGAGCCCTCTCACCTTCCTCATCAGAGTGAATGCATGTAGGGGTACCTGGGGTGTCAATGTCCTCAACGGTGGAGAGAAGTGCCAGGTAGTTCAAGGGAGAGGAGTGTTTATTGTTAGCACCTACATGTTTGTAAAATGAGGCCTTGGTAGTTTTTATTTTACATGGGCTGGATAGGCCTGTTGAGGAGAGACTGTGCACCAATGGGCTGGTAGTTGGCCCAGCTTCAAGTTTGGGTGAGACACTTGGGCTTTTTGGGGATCCACTAACATTATGCATATGTAAATTGGGCCTGTTTTGCTCTGCGTACCCCAACTTGGAATGGCCCAGAATGTCTGAGCAATTCTTGGGTTTGTTCGTTTGCCCATTAGCTTGAGAGTGCTGGATGCCTGCCATCACATTATGAGCTGGTGCCTTTCCTTTCCTTGGAATATGGACCCACTGATGTGTGTTATTTGGCTTGATCTCCTTATCAGCTTGCTGCCTTACCAAGGTTGCCCCGCCAGTGAGGACTTTTCCGACGGGTTGGGATTTTTTGCAGCAGTGACCCCAGCGTCCACAAGTTATGCAGTAAGAAGGAAAGTCATAAGTGAGTTGAATTTCACGATCCCATGCAGGAGTACGTACCAGAATGGTAGATTGTTTGGGTTTGGACGCGTCCATCTGTAACACCCGCCCTCCGTGGACCCGGTTCACCCGCGACCCAATAGACCGGTAGGGTTACATGGACAGTCCGAGAACAATCCGTTACGAAAACGTTAATGATTATTTAATAAGAAAACGATTGGGTTTTAATTAGAGGAATAAATGCCAGGGAGTTACTCCCAAAACTTGTGTAATAAAAGTGCAGAGTAATTGCGGAAGTAATTAAATAAGTTCAGTCCAAACTAAATAACGACAAGGGTGGGTTCATGCCCAATTGATTAATGAAGTTATTAAGAGTTCGTCCGTGCGCCGCCTATCTCCCCATCGTCACCGCTCTCTAGGGTTGGCACCTGCTCCGTCATGTCTACCTGCGTGTAGCAAAAACAACTACACGCTCAGCAAAAGCTGAGGAGTGAATCTAACACAAGAACATGAAGTGATAACCCATATGGCTATACCCATATCAATACCTGTACTTAACGTACGGGACACCACACGTTACTAACTGTTTAGTTTTCACCTGTTAAAGCTGTTTCGAATAACAAGGAACACAATGATGATGATATGACTTGATGCATGACTTAAACTATCAGGGACACCCCTGGCTTAGTCTTACTCGACAGGATCACACCTGCACTCCGGTCATCGTCCCCGAACGGTAACGAGCCGGGCACGATGAAAACATCGCGAGTGGACTAGCAAAACCGGGTAGTAGCCGTAACCTGACTACTATGTACGTACACAAGCCCAATATGATGAAAACCCGTTGGTCCCCAAAGGTTCCTGGACGGGTCCACTGTAGTAGGCGCTTGAAGTCCTCCCTACAGCAGTATGCATATGATGGAAACCTAGAACATCCGTCTAGAACGAACATGATAGAATGAATGCATTGATTAAATAAAAGAGTTAAACTCAATTCGTACATATGTGCTTGATTATGATTTGTTCAACATGATGGCCCTGGGTTCAGAACTGGCTGATAATCGATTATTTGCTGTTGATAATCGATTATCATGCTATGCAGCTTCTGTCCCCAAAGTCCTGGAAACTGTGATAATCGATTGTCACCCTATGACAATCAATTGTCAAGTTGGTTTATCAGAAAAATCCTAAGTTTAGAGAGACCGGATAATCGACTATTGCGCTGTGATAATCGATTGTCAAGTGAACCAGCTCTAACTCAAGAATCCGCAGGGTCTGATAATCAATTACCACTTATGTGATAATCGATTGTCACACTATGCTGGATCAACTGAGGAGTTCACCGTGACCTGATACTCGATTATTCCGTTCTGTAAATCGATTACCAAGGCACGCTGATTCCCATTTTGACTGTTTGGTTATCATCAATACGCTGGGAGTTTTCTTTGAAACGAACGTTTATGATTACATGTTAAGTATTCCATGAATATACGGAGTTTCAAAATGCTTGTATTAACGAGTTCGTAACTTGATAACACGGACTCTCGTATGTTTGATTGTTAACCTACGAACATGCATAGATTCTAGTAGGTTTCGTACGATATTCCTATGAATATAAAGACATAGATTATAACTAAATGTTCTAGACTTAGAGGGACAACTACTCACCTCTAAATGAAGGGATTGATGGAACGAGATGAACGAATGTTGCTAACGAACGGACAAACGACGACCACGCTTCGCATGACGGCCTAGCTCTTCTTCTCCTTCAACCTTGCACCCACCGGAGCTTCACCAGAGATTCCTGAGCTGCTGTTTGCCTTGGCCGAAAATGAGAGAGGGAGAGAAGATGAATGGTGATGATGGAGTTGATGATTGAATTCACAAAATGGGGGTTACAACAATATGAGTTTTAAGGGTGGAGAGTGATGGGGTTTTATGGTGATTAAAAAGACAATTAAATGGGAAAGATGGGGGGTTGAGAGGGCCGAACCAAATGCATGGGGAGTTACAAATACTTATTTACTCTGTATTGTAAAATCTGACCTGAACGGCACGCGCTTTTCCCCCCAAACGGGTCCGAATTGAAATCCGTTTGCGTTTCTGGAATCAGACAGTCAAGACGAACTTAATGATATGATCAAATAATTTTTCTAAGAACTTTTCATTTTCCCAACCCCGGTCCGGAATATTAATGAATTAATTAAATTAATCAATTCTATTAGACCGGGTTGCAGGGCGTTACACCATCTCCACCATAACTCTTGCAGAATTGAAATATCCACCCCTCGCTGTGGTCTCATCCATTTGAATTGGTTTCCCCAGAGTTTTCACAATAGAGAATAGGGATTGGGCGTTAGTAAGGAAGAAGGGGATGTGCTTGAGCGAGACCCAGACGAGAGCCAAAGGGCTGTCACGTTTATCCTATAAAAGAGGATCCCATTTTGAGAGATACATCTGGTGACCATTTGCTCTCCACGTCCTTCTAGATAATAGCCTAATGAAGTAAGTTTGTGTTTTGAGGATGATAACTACAGTGAACCTGCTAATGGAGATAACACGGAGTCCAGAAAACCCTCCCCTCTCCAAGGATTTACCGATGTCTGTAACCTGCAAGTCCTTAGCAAACCTGGCTTTAATGGAGAATAGATAGGAGTCACCAATTTCACCCGTTTTGAATAGGTCGGAGAATAGTTTCATCGGCTTGCCGGAAACCGGCAGCTTTCTCTCTCCCTCACTAGAAAAAATCATCCTCAAATATATATATATATATATATATATATATATATATATATAGATTTTGGGCACTAGTTTATTAGATTTTAAGAGATGCAACTCTATACTGTAGATCGAATCTCTACTGCCCTATATTATCATGAGCCCATTGACCTGCAAGGATTAGCTGGCAGTGGTATGAGGACTCACCGGTTTACCTCCCTTTTTGATGTTGATTTATGGCCATTTTTACTTCTGCAGCTTAAACTGCTTACTTTAAATATTCTCATGGTCCTCTATTACTTGGAACAAGACATGGAACATCTATCCATATGCAAAAATTTGACTCCCTGCAGTAGCTCTAATGAGGACCACCACGTTGGGTTGAGTAATTTGAATTCATATGGTGAATTTTTGAGTGATGGCAGACACAAGATAAGAGAATATTTCTCCAGTCATATGGCGACAACAAGGGACTTAACAAAGCTTTGGGACCTCTTTTAGTTGTTTATTTGTGTTGGTCAATTTTCAATCTTTGGACTGTTANTCCCTGCAGTAGCTCTAATGAGGACCACCACGTTGGGTTGAGTAATTTGAATTCATATGGTGAATTTTTGAGTGATGGCAGACACAAGATAAGAGAATATTTCTCCAGTCATATGGCGACAACAAGGGACTTAACAAAGCTTTGGGACCTCTTTTAGTTGTTTATTTGTGTTGGTCAATTTTCAATCTTTGGACTGTTATATATTTAGGCCTTGTACGGGTCCGGCCAACCCCCTCCTTTGTACTTTTTTCTCTTTCTTTCAATAATAATAATAATTATAAATATATATTTCTGGAACCCTCACATGGGAGCTAGGAGATCAAGGTTCCTTCTCCCTCAAAAAGGTTTCCCTTGCTCTCCAGGAATCAGGTCCCTCCATGCTCACGGCAAAAATTCCTTGGCCCAAAAAAGGAATCCCAAAGGCAAACCTATTCCTCTGGAAAACCCTAAACAAAGCAACCCCCTTCTCCAACAACCTTCAAAGGCTTGGCTTCAATTTTCCCTCCATGTGCATGTTTTGTTCCCAAGCAAGCAAAACAGACTACCACTGCCTTATGTTGTGTCCTAAAACCAGCAACATCTGGAACAACATAGGGCAACTACTACACATGCCTATGATATCCAACTCCTCCTTCCAGCATAACCTAATCATGTGGTGGCTGTCCACGTCCCCTACTGATCATCTCTACCATGTCAAACGTATTATCCCAACCATCATCACTTGGGAGATCTGGAAAGCATAAAACAGGGTTAAACTGAACCTGGAACACTTTAAACCAGAGAAAACCCTAGAAGGAATCAAGCATACCCTAAACGCATGGTCCTTAGCAAACAAAGGAATGCACCTTCCAATCACGTTCCATCGGACTCCTCTCAAGCCATTCAAGCTTATTCGATGGATCCCTCCCAACCCCTTCCATTTCAAACTCAACATTGATGGTAGTGCAAACCCTCAGGGTTGCGGCGGTGGAGCTGTTTTAAGAGATCACCAAGGCAACTTTCTTCATGCTTTAGCTTTTCCCTTACCTAGAACTTCACCACTATCCACAGAAGCCCTTGCAATGATGCAAGCCCTCCGTTATTACTCCTTCCCAAACATGGTCGTTGAAACCGACAACATGGAACTCCTACACATGTTACGTGATGTCCCAACGTCGAATACTCTCTTATTCATCAAGGAGAAGATAGAAACTCTCAATCTACGTCTCTCCCACACCCTCAGAGAAGCCAATGGTGCGGCGGACCTCCTAGCTAAACAGGGAGCAAGGAATTCTCAATGTGTTTACTTTGATTGCTTTTCTTCACTTCCTAGATCTATCTCTACTGTAATCTCTTTGGACAAACTTGTCCCCTTTATTAGAGTGCAAGAAAAACCTCCCCTTTAAAATATATGTATATATATATATATATATATATATATATATATATATATATATATATATATATATATATATATATATATATATATATATATATATATATATATATATATATATATATATATATGCCGGAAGGAATGAAGGAATCCTTGGAAACCAACAACAACTCCATGCCAAGGCAGGAGCGTACCCAGGATGGATGGCAGATGGTCAGTTCCAAGAAGGGTAAATCCAAAATGCCTGAGAAGAAGTGGCGGGCCAGGGAACCCACTAAAAGCATTCACATACATGCTGAAGGCCAGTGGACAGAAGGTCTAGGAGAAACGTCCAAAAATTCAAATTTAGAAACCCTCGTGGCAAATGAGAGAACCTTAAGGCAAAAAGGGACCTACAACATTTCTGACCCACAAATTTTATCACCACTCACTCTTAGACACTTGCATGAGAACATCTTTCAATCCCCCATCCTCGTGGAAGTTGAAGATCCTTCATTGTACAACCTAGCTATCGTTCCTTACGATGGTGCATTTCAAACCCTTCAGGAGGATGACATTCCAGAGGTGGGGCACTTCAACAACCCCAAAGATCTTGAAGAGAAACTTTTGGCATTGGATGACTTCCCCCCTCTACCAAAAAAGGGTACCACTGAGGTTCCTAAGAGCCCTAAAATAGCATCCACTGGAAAGGTGAGGAACCACACAATGTTTACCAGAACTATGGCCTCAAACAAGCTCTCCACTCTCTCCTCCCAATGTTAAATCTCTTCTGGAACATCCGTGGTGTACATATGTCTCTCCCACGTCTCATCTCTCTTCAACATAAGTATAAGTTTGATTTCATCTCGATCATGGAACCCCTTGTGGACTAGAATAAGCTTGAGTGGTATAAACTCAAACTTGGCTTCCCAAAGGGTTTGCAAGCTTTAAATAATAAAATCTGGTTTTTCTGGAATGATTCTCAACTATCTCTTCAGGCAGTTATAGAAGAGGAACAAATCATCTCATGCTGTTTCTCTAATCCAGGGGGGTCTCCACCTCTATGGATTTCTAGTATCTGTGGCAAGCATTCCAGAAAAGATAGAGAAAGCTTATGGACTTCCATGAGAGATCTGTTTCCCAAGAATGACCCTTGGATCCTAGGAGGAGATTTTAACACTGTTGCCTCACTGACTGAACACAAAGGGGAGGTTTGCCCAGATATTGGAAGCATAGAGGACTTTGTGCAAACTATTAATGACTGTGAACTCCTATCTCCTCCTTTCTTGGGAAGTCAATTCACATGGTTTGGAAAAAGAGGAAGAGGTAGAGTTTACTGAAGGCTGGACAGGATTATCATAAATGAACACTGCATGGACCATCTCCAGCTCACAGAAATAAAGCACCTGGGGAGAGGCTTTTCAGACCATAGGCCTCTTCTTATCAAAGCCTTCTCTAGTCAGCTTATTGGGCCTAAGCCTTTCAAATTCATCAATGCTTGGTGCTCCCACTCCTCCTTTAATGAACTCCTTCAATCAAATTGGCCGGAGAGTTAAACAGGAGGGGGAATGAGAGGCCTGGCCCTAAAGCTTTCTAATTTTAAGAAGGCCCTCATCACTTGGAATAAGGAGACCTTTGGTAATATTTTTGAGGGAGTTTCCAAAGCAGAAGAAAGGGCATCTAAAGCAGAGGAGAATCTTGAACAGAATGATAGTAATGAAAACCTTACTGAATTCAAACTTGCAAAAGCTCTCCTGCAACAAGCTTTGAAGAAGGAGGACTCTTTTTGGGCCCAAAAGGCAAACAGTAAATAGATTGCACAGGGTGATGCATCTACGGCCTTCTTCCACTCCTTTGTTAAAGGGAGAAGAAATAGACTGAAGATTACTTCATTAAAAGGGGCTGATGGATCAGTCTATACCACACAGGAAGACATAGCCAGTGAGGTAGTGCAATACTTCACAAGGGTCTTCTCCACCATTAATGAGGGTGATATGGGTGATATCCTAAGACACATCACCAGCACTATCTCAGAGGCTGCAAACAAAGCCATTGGAGCCATACCAGAGGAGGAGGAAATCAAGAAAACTGTATGGTCTCTCAATGCAAATAGCACAGCTGGAACTCATGGCTTTAATGGCTTTTTCTTTAGGTATGCTTGGGAAAATATTAAAGTGGATGTTTGCAAAGCAGTGCAGGAATACTTTCTGGGGATCCCTATGCCCAAAGGAAACATCCATATGATACTCCAACAAGTCCAGTATCAAAGGAAACATCCATATGATACTCCCTGGAATGATAACTTGGTCAGTTTGGAAGTACTATAATTCTATCAGAATTGAAAATAAAAGCTTTTCTCAAGACAAACTCATGGTCTCCATCCACCTATTGCTCCAAACCTGGTTCTGAGCACACAAAATGGATACAACCTTTCTTTATGATTCCAATGTGTTTAGATTTGGTATTCACACTTTCAAGAACACTAGAGTGAACTATTAGTTCCCGATTATATATATATATATATATATATATATATATATATATATATATATATATATATATATATATATATATATATATATATATATATATATATATATATATATATATATATATATATATATTCCCCGGAGAGAAGCACCGAAATCGGTGTTGTAGAGCCGGGGAACTCCTACCGAATTTTATTAAGACGGGGGGAGGGAGTACAAGAGAGACCGCGTTTGGGGGGACTAGACCGAAACCCGAAGGTAAAAGAGGAAAAAGAAGATACAAAGTGCTAAAAGTAGACAAATAAAAACTAACAAGGCCCAAACAGTTCCAGAT